GATCGTATCGGTAAAGATATCCAAAAGTTCGGAGAAATGATGTGGTAAGCTCTGCGCATTGATGTGACAAACATTGAAGTGTTTATGGGAATTTGTAAGTTGTTGAACAAAGAAACATGTTTAGGCTAACCAATTCTGTTACCGAGTCTTCAGTGGACTTAAATGATAAATCTGAGTCAGAAATCGAGTAAAAGGAACCATCATCAGACATTGTATTGTAAAACGAATTAATGTAAGGTATGTAAAATAGATATGATATTAAAATATATATATGTATATATATATATATATATATATATATATATATATATATATATATATATAAAATTATAAATATGTAAATATAAAGGCACGCAGTTAATATAGGCACTAGCCCCGGTCGACTGTTTACAGTAAGCAAATAAGGAGTCCACAAAAATTTATAATTATGACCAGATACAAAATCATAAACATCCAATTATGTCTGAATATTAACGGTACAAGATTACAAAGGTAGGGTGAATTAAATTCGACATAATCTAAACAGCACAGAATTTAGATCATGTTGTGACATAATTGCTAGTAGTAAAATAATTAAAAAAAAACAATTAAATTGCTAATGTAAAATAAAAGAGAGAGAGAGAGAGAGAGAAATATTAACGGTACAAGATTACAAAGGTAGGGTGAATTAAATTCGACACAATCTAAACAGCACAGAATTTAGATCATGTTGTGACATAATTGCTAGTGGTAAAATAATAAAAAAAACAATTAAATTGCTAATGTAAAAGAAAAGAGAGAGAGAGAGGGAGAAAAAAAGGAAAACACGCAATTATCCAATATTTCGCTTTGGTCAAAAGCCGGTAACTACCGATACAACATTAAATGAAAATCATTTCGAATTAACCTATGCATGTCGTGCTATCTACTCTCTCCCAGAAGTACTCTGTGCTATGTTTATTGTTTGTTGTTTTATGTTACTTGTCTATTCTGTTATTTTATTGTATACTGATATTACCTACTGTTCTATTATAAAATATTAATCCTATATATTTCTATCTAACCGTGCGTTTGCACTGACGCGATTTTCAAGAAAAAACATGTTATAAACACTGTTTTCTGTCAATGTACCAAAAAGTGTTTGCATAGTCACTAAACATATTGTAGTGAAATATGTTTGACAGTTTATTGTACACTACATATTATAACTATATTATACGATTTCAGGTATATCTTTACGAACAGTTGCAAGAATTACAAATGAAGGGAAATTAGCTGAAGAATCGTCAAGTAAAATAGTAACACCGGGGAAAAAAAGAAAAACAAGGAAGGATAAAATTGTTATGGACAATTTTGATATTGGTGTTCTTAGACGAAAGATCCATGAGTTTTATTCTTGTAAAAAAAGAAATACCAACAGTGAATAAGTTGCTTCGTCTACTTAAAGAAGAGATTGGATTCACTGGCAGTAGAGAAATTCTCAGATAGCACATAAAAAAGATTGGTTTTCGATATAAAAAAACTAAAGAGTGACAGTGACAGTGACCGTATTCACATTGGCTCCCGTATTAAAATTAAATAAAAAGTGTAATTTGGCTATTTTACCGTCTCAGACTTCATATATTAAAGTAATAGTACGTTATGATTGTGCACAAATGTTATCTTAGTGAACTATTAAAGGTTTTTGACTAAAATTTGTGTTACATACGAGTGTTTAATGAGCTTAGTTTTAATGATGTTAGCAAAAAAATAAGTGGCAGCCGTATAATCTAGATATATCAAGTGAGTAATAAAATAAGACTTAATACTAAGTTCAAACTATTATTAAAACTAGTATAATTTTGTGGATTTTGTAAATTGAGCTTTGTTTAGGTTCAATATAACCGTTGTATCTCAGGTTAAAGTAAACAACACTCAGCTGACCAATCAGCTGTTGTTATTTATACGGCATACCGGACGACTAACGACACCTAGTATAATCGTGTTGAACTAAACTATTCGGTCAACATAATATTTGAATTATTGATTGAATTAAGACTATGTGCTGAGATCTAGCGGAAGTTTGTTGAACTAGAACGAAACTTTCTTTTGTGATCATTAAATATATTAGCTGATCACGATGTCAATGAAAGCGCAAACAAAAAGTACAAAAAGTAGCCGTAGTAGTCATGTTGTGTATGTCACATGTTATAAATGTAAAAACACTGTGGACTCTAGAAATACAATTTTATGTTCAATATGCAAAAATAATTATGAGTTCGACTGTATTGGATATTCAGAAAAATTACATCGCCTAAAGGACTCTAATACAAGAAAAAAATGGACTTGTAAGATTTGTGACAATAAAACAAACTTACGCTCCACTGACAACAATGAATTATCCTATGTCGCAATGAGAAAGAAACAGCATTCTCCGAAATTATACGGTAACACTACACCTAAGACGATGACAGAGTCGGCTCCTTTAACGCCTTCTTGTACGAATTCCCAAATACACGACTCTCACATACTTACAGAAACGCAGACATCAGATGAATTTCCACTGACACCGGATCAATTACTATCAAGGAGTGTGGATTATACATTAACAGATTCTATCTCAGTACAAGAAATGAAGGAAACTATAGAACAACTTCGGACAGAACTCATTAGTTCACAAAATGAATTGGATAATACATTAATGGAAAATAGTGACCTTCGCAAGCAAATTACTAAGTTAAGTAAAGAAAATAGTATGCTAAAAACATTATGCCAGTCCCCGTTACATGATAGTCGAATAAATCGCAGCTCTAAAAAGGAAAGTAGATATACCATGCAAAGTTCACTTACACCTACCCGATTATCTACTTCGGATAAAATTAAAATTAAACTTGACTACAGTAATACTATCACGACTTTACATCAGAGAATTGCAGAATTACAGCAGCAATTAAAAGAATCCCAGACAGAAATAATGAAACTCATGAAACAAACCCAGGCCTGGGAAGAAGAGCTTCCCTCAACAAGATCTAAGGCCTTAACAACACCTAATTTTAATGATAAAATGTATTCCAAGGATACCGAAAAGCAAGCTTGTGATAACAGGATATTGATCTTTGGAACTCAACAATGTGTTGGTTTAGCCGCTGCATTGATACGGTCACGAGAGCGTACAACATACGAAAAATATTTGGTTACCTCGCAAACGAAACCGTATGCTCTAACTGCAGATGTTTTAAAAAATTGTCATAACTTAGAATTAACATCAAATGAAAAAATTGTAATATGTATCGGTGAAAATGATTATGATATTAATATATTAACATCTCAATTGCGTAGTTTGCTCAATAAATTTAGTAACAATTCTGTGATAGTTATTAACCCATTAAAAATATGTATTTGAATGTTCATGAATTGAATAATGCGTTGAAAATTACTTGTAATGCTTATAACAACTGTCATTTTGTAGAATGTATTAATAGCAATTTATTTAAAATGTGTAAATCAATCAATTATATCATCGACTGTATTGATTACGATAATAAATATTTAAATATTAAGGAACTTCAAAAGATAATAATTCGCAATAAACTACAGCCTCAGGAAGCAACTAAATTTAATATAAAACACCTGAAAGGCACAATCCCCTATTACTTCGCAAAAATGCAGTTACAAAGTGCTTCCATCAGTGGAACTAATGCCATAAAATCCACTTTCGATTCGAAAAAAGGTACCATACCCTATTACTTCCCCATAATAGATGGAAATCAGTTTTTTCGGGAACAAAAAACAAAAGCCATCTATTTCTCTCAAAATCATGCACCAAAACATTGCTAGTATTTTATCAAAACAAGAACTATTAGAATTAACATTTCATGAGTTACGTGAGGCCGAGAACGAACCCGATATACTATGTTTCTCTGAAACTTTTTTGCGAGATGGTTACGATAAATACTTACAAATAAAAGGTTACGAATTAGCAACTGCATTTTGTAGAGAGAAACAAAGAGGCGGAACTTGTATTTTGGTACAGCGCAATATAACATACAAAAAAATTAATAAATTACAATATTATGCAACGCCAAATACATTTGAAGCTTGTGGAATTGAAATTCCTGTACACAGAATGATTATAATATGTATTTATAGAACTCCCTCGTCAAACCCTACTATTTTCTTAGATAAGCTGAACAAACTTTTATATGACTTACTTAGCAGTCATAAGCCAAACATTAAGCTAGTTGTTACTGGTGACTTTAATATTAATACCTTAAAACAGGGAAATATTACTAATTTTTTTTCAAGATCTATGTCACAACTACAATCTAAGCATTCACATCAAGGTACCGACCCGGAAAAACTCTTGTATAGACCATATTTTAAGCAACATCACAGACGCAACGGCTACCATTCTACCTCTATACCTGTCTGACCATGAAACAGCGCAACTACTGGAAATCCCCATAAAAAGAAAAACCTTAAAGACCACGGCATATTTTATTTACAAAAAAGACTATTGCGCTGAGAACATACGGAAATTTAGGGAATGTCTTATGAATATATCTTGGTCTGATATATACTTACAGACTGATATAAATAACGCGTTTAATACATTTCATGAATTTCTATGTTTAATTTATAATTTATGTTTTCCACTTATTAGAATAATGATAAATAATAATAATACTACAAACAATTGGATAAGTCGAGGTTTAAAAAGAAGTTGTAAAACTAAAAGATTACTCCGATATAAATACTACAAGAATAAATCAGAATTAAATAAGAAAAGTTACATCACATATTCAAAGATTTTGAAAAAATGTATTCAAAGATCGAAAAGAAATTCTACTATAAAATTCATACACAAAAGCAAAAATAAATGTAAAGCTACATGGTCTGTGATAAAAAATGCAATCTCAAATTCAAACTTCGACCATGGCGTTACGGATTTAAAAATAAATAATGAACTGATTAAAAATCCTACTGACATAGCTTCGATTTTCAATAATTATTTTACTGATTTCCCTAATAATTTGACAATAATGAATAAACCAAACAGCTATACTAGTATTGAAAAATCACTACCTAACTCAATGTTTGTTAAGCCCATGACAGAAGAAGAGGTTAAAAAAGAAATCCTATCTCTTAATAACACTAACTCGGAAGGATATGACGGTATTAATACGAAAATAATTAAGAAGTCTGTAAATGAATTAGTCTCTATTTTAACATATTTAATTAACTTGTCATTTTCATGTGGTACTTTTCCAGAAACATTAAAATCGTCGATTGTAAAGCCATTATTTAAAAAGGGTAAGAGAAATGATATTACCAATTATCGTCCAATCACATTAATACCAATATTGTCAAAAATACTAGAAAAATGTATGTACAAAAGATTACTAGATTTTTGCAAGAAATTCAATTTAATAAAGAATGACCAATATGGCTTTCAGAAACAAAAATCTACAACATTAGCCATATTTAAGCTCATTAGTTCAATCTTAACAAAAATAAATAACAATTTTTTAACCACAGCATTATTTCTTGATTTATCGAAAGCCTTCGATCTCGTTGCGCACAGCATACTATTACGAAAACTGGAAATGGTCGGTGTCAGAGGGCTTCCACTAAAATGGATATCTTCCTATTTAGCTAACCGTAGACAATGTGTCGTAATAAAAAAGATTGTAGGAGAGGAAATGCTGTCCTTCTCATCTTCTTATAAAGAGAACAAACATGGCATTCCTCAAGGTAGCGTGCTGGGTCCAATGTTGTTTCTTCTTTATTTAAATGATATAACTCTAATCACCAGTCATAAATGTATTTTATTCGCGGACGATATTTCAATAATTGTAAGCACTAATAAGAAGCAAAATAATTCAATACGTAATCATGAAATCGACATTAACAACACAATTGATACAATTATTAAATGGCTAGACAAAAACAATTTAAAAATTAATCTTAATAAATCAACTTATATTCAATTTAATAAATCAAAACACACAAAATACAATTTTAATCTTAATATCGACAAATTAAACGAAGTAACACAAACTAAATTCCTAGGAGTAATAATCGATCAAGATTTAAGCTGGAGAGGTCACATACATCAACTATGCAGTAGAATTAACCAATTTGTTTATGCACTTAATAAAGTAAAAAATGTTACAGACAAAAAAACTGCTGTTCTAACGTATCACGCTTACATAGAATCTTTACTACGTTATGGTGTTGTAATATGGGGCAATGGTACAGATAAACAGAGATTATTTACTGCGCAAAAGAAATGCATTAGAGCTATTGCTGGAATCGCACCGGATAAATCCTGCAAACCAATATTTAGGAGCCTAGGTTTGTTGCCACTACCATCTCTGTATATCTACGAAGTTTGTAATTTCGTACACAAACATAATAATCTGTTTACAAAGGCATGTGATATGAATATAAGACTAAAAAGAAATGCAAATAGACTTGTATTAGATGATGTACCGCGATCAAACAAATATAGTAAAAGCTGTTTAACCATGTGTATTCGAATCTATAATAAAATACCAAATGAAATGAAGTCGAATAATAATAATAATATATTTAAAAAAAAATTATTGACTTATCTCAATGAAAATCTATTTTATGACATCAGAGAACTATTTGTTAAATGTAAATGATATATATTTTTTAATGAATTGTTTTGTATTATGATTAGAAAATTTCATTTGTATATGTGCTATTTATGTAAATTTGCATGCTATCACAATCACATAGCAAACATGTTGTGCTTTAAGAATTGTACCATCCTTATCTGTCCATGTTTTATGCAAATAAATAAATAAATAAATAAATAAATAAATAAAAGCAATAGAAAAGTACTGATGGAACTTAACGATATAACTGCTTGGCGCGCTCTTTATCTTCAGGTAGGTACATTTATTTTCTATTCATAATGTATTTTAAATTAAAGTGACACACTTATTCATGAGTAACATGGAATTAGGTTAATATTTCCAATATGGACCATCGATTTCAAAGCCCATATTTTTTGTAGATAGTACTCACAAAAAGAAAGCGTTTTGCAAAGTTTTAGGTTGCGGAAACTTACGGTTCATGAGATATATTTTTTTAAACTTTTCATACAAATTGGCAAATAACACGCAATTACATCAATTACAAAATAAATTTGACAAATGATTGATGTCAAACGTCAATTAGTGTAGAGTTCCGAATATTTTGAAAGTATCGATACGTACTCGATATCAAGTATCGTATCAAAAGTATCAATACTACTTGGTATCGAGCACATTTCGTTAATTTTGGAGACTAACTTTCCAATATGGATCATCCATATATGAGGTTTTAGGGGTGGGAGGGGGGATGGACGATGGATACCCCCTGTGCAATCCCCACCCTGTGGAACCCCATGGTTTTGGTGATATTCATGGTTAAAATTTATTATATTATTATTATTCTCGTTACCATATGTCTGGTGAAATGGAGGGCGGATATGTGGGAGGGTTAAAATTAACTAGATTAAATAAAGAAAAGGGAGGGGCTTATGGGAGGAGAGGGGGTGTGTGGTTAGTAGCAGGGAAGTTGTGTGGTGGGTTAGTAGAGGGGAAGTGAGATGGGAGGGGGGGGTTGAAGGGGAAGTCGTGTTCCGGCGCTCCGTGGCAGCTCCGGTGCTGCGGGATGAGCAGTCTCTCCGCCCTAGCGTAGGAAAGCACAGGCACCTGATCTCGGTGCCTGCACTTCCCTACGGCGGCCGGGTACTGCTCTCCCTCCGCGCCTCCGGGCTCTTATATACACTCTAGGGGTAGGGCGGACAAGACCACGTGGATAGTAGGGTGCTCTAATTCGGTTTTGGGTACTTTATTGTAGTAAGAATTAGATAATACAGCAAGTTGCAAACAATAAAATACAAACAATAAAGAAAAAGCTGTCCTAATTAAGAAATACAAACAAGTTGCAAACAAATAAATACAAGTGCTAAGGTGGAACTTAAATAAACTTTATTCTACTTTATATACATATATAATTGCACTTATCAGCTCTTCCTATGCATCTAATTTTTCGTCTCCAAAATTAACGAAATGTACTCGATACCAAGTAGTGTTGATACTTTTGATACGATACTTGGTATCGAGTAGGTATCGATACTTTCAAAATATTCGGAACCCTACACTAATTGACGTTTGACATCAATCATTTGTCAAATTTATTTTGTAATTGCGTGTTATTTGCCAATTTGTATGAAAAGTTTAAAAAAATATGTCTCATGAACCGTAAGTTTCCGCAACCTAATACTTTGCAAAACGCTTTCTTTTAGTGAGTACTATATACAAAAAAATATGGGCTTTGAAATCGATGGTCTATATTGGAAATATTAGTAGCCTAGAATTATTTTATTTCAGGCTATAAAGCGTAATGACGAGACAGAAAAATTACCAGTTGTTTACTTAGATGAGACATATATTCACTCCGGTCATACAGCTGGTAAATGTTGGCAGGATGATGATGAAGGTATTGTTTAGTTAACTATCTCATAATATTTATAGTCTAGTTAATTAGTGTTATTTGCATTTGTTAATGTACAAACGATTGATTTCAGATGGAGTATTAGAGCCTGTCTCCAAAGGACAAAGATTTATTATTGTCCATGCCGGAGGTAATGAAGGTTTGTAGAGAATACATGTTTGGTGTTCAAGTCACAAACAAAAAGTGGTGATTACCATGATGATATGAATCACACAAATTTTAAAAAATGGGTTGCAGAAAAGTTAGCTCCCAATTTGACAAAACCCAATTTAATTATAATGGACAACGCTCCATATCACAACACACGCATCAACAAACCCCTAAACACAACTACCAGAAAACCAGAAATAATTGAGTGGTTACAAAATAACAATATTGAATATTCAGAAGAATACACAAGACCACAATTGTTGGAAATTGTCAATAGATATAAGCCCGAACCAGTGTATGCTGTTGATGCTATTTTAAAAGGACTGGGTCACAAGGTAATCATGACTTAAATATTAAATCTACTAGTAAAGTGACTTCATAAATTGTTATTTTTTATTAAAATAAATGACTATGGGTTTATTTAAAATTGCTTATTTTCTTTTTCAGATATCGCATTTACCACCGTATCATTGTGACCTCAATCCTATTGAAATGATCTGGGCATCAATGAAACGCAAAGTAGCTGAGGTAAATATTGGCAAACCAGCCAATCAAATGCCAGAAATGGTACAGGAAGCTTTTAATTCCATTCCCGTCGAAGAATGGTGCAATCATTGTGCCCACGTCAAGAAACTTGAAGAAGAATACAGAAGTAAAGATGGATATTTGGATGCACCTTTCATCGTGGAATTATGCTCTGAGAGTGAAGAAAGCAATTCTCAAGATGAAAGTGATGAAGAATTTAATAGCATTGAACCTCTCGCCATAGTTCATGCAGAACATAATTATAGTAAAAAAATTTGAAATATTGTTTTTTATTTCGTTTACTATTGCATTATAGTTTTCATGTTATAAATTTTGTCATCCAAATATTTCCTTCTTTTAATTTATACTACTAAGGTAGCAACTAAGCATAATGCCTGCCTTATGGTAAGCCTGAACCTGCAAAAAACATTTTACAACCTAGTTATATAACCCAACTAGCTTTCGCCATAACATCATTCCCAACGTGTATGCAAAATTTCATGATGATCGGTTCAGTAGATAGGGCGTGAAAGCGTAATAAACAAACAAGCAAACTCACTTTCGCATTTATAATATTAGTTGGGATACTGCCAAGCCCCATACTCCATAATTAAGACGAATTCCATAAAACAAAGGATTTTTTTTAGCTGGTAACCGTTAGTGAACACCCACGCCCTCATGTCAATGTCACACAAGTGCCAAATGATCCTTGTGGGACTATATATCTATATAACTGCAGAAACAAAATGTTTGAAAACAAATTTGTAGAAATATTGTCATGTTGAAAGATAAGTTTGACGTTAATTTTGTATTTGTAGACACTTTTTAATCGAGACAGAGAATTTTCAACAATAATGGATTCAAGTGATGAAGAGGTTTTATTTTTTTAAGTACCTTTACTGTACATTTACAACAAAAAAAGAAAGAAATCGAGGTTCTGGACGCGCGTGCAATGTGTTTGACAGTGATTCGCAGTGGAATACGGGATAGAGACTAAAAACTGTGGTGCATGACGAATAAAGAAAATTAAAGAAAGTGATACATGAGAAAATTCTACCAATTGCGTAATCACATTAAAACATTAAAAGCCAAAATTATATTAAGTGTTTAGCTAATGAAAATAGAATAAGAAAATTATCCAAGAAAATAACATCAACATTTGCGCTGTAATTACAAGTTCAAATAGGAAATTGAAAGAAAAAGCTACATGACATATGAAAATCAAAGCCTATCAAAGGCTTTATAAAAGGTCACACACCTGTTACAGGCTACTCAGGCTCTATTAAAGGGTTAACTTAGTACTCTTTGCTGTTGTAATCAATCAACCAGTTATTAAGGCCTGGCAGATTTTTTAAATACTATAAAACCATCAGACAATCAATTTATATTGATATTTGATGAAATGTCTTTAAAAAAATGTGATGTGAACCAAAAGAAGATTTGATTGAAGTGTATTAGGATCATAGTACACAGAACATCTTCAGTCATTGCATCATATGCATTAGTATTTATGATTGTTAGTACTAGGAAGACTGAAACTAAAAACGTGATGGGGTTAATATTAAAGTGTAAAAGGACCCAATAATAATACAAGTCAACCTTTAGGTAAAATTATGGTATTTTCGCTTAGTATTATTACGATACTATGTACTACAAACTATGAAATAATATAAATAATAAAAAAAATAATGTACAATTAGGATAATTCTTCCTTCCTTTTGAAATCATTGACTGAAACTGACTGACTGACTGACTGAACGGCGTATGCGCAACGCAGCCATAAGGGGATGACAGATTTTAATTAAAAATATTGAATAATTAACAATTAAGTTGTATTTATAATTGAACAATCATCAATAGCGATCGAACTAACGATATTTAGTAAAATTTAATTAATTTGAGGGATAAAAGTTAAAATTTACAGTAAGGGTGGCTACCAACCTAAGGATGAGATTTGTTCAATTTGTGATAAATAATTAAAAGGCGAACAAATAATTTTTATGTTCGAACAAACGACGAACAATCAATTAAAAATAAAAAATAAACTTAAAAGTAAAAATTAAGAATCCAAGTGTATAGTAACTACATGGAGTATAGAGGTAAAGAGAACCGACTCTGTATAAAAAAGTGTCCGTAGGAAAACGCTAAATAAGGGTGGCGCCACTGTAACTAGAGGGTAAATTTTAAAGATTCAAATTTTTTATTTTCAAAATCACGCTCAACGTGTTTGATGGCGACTTTTTCTAGGTATTTGCTAAATTTTTTTAGACAACGTGAGTAGATGAGGTTTTAAATACTGTAGTATCATCAACTACTCTAGTCACACAAATATTAAATTCCTCAACTCAGCACACTTCACTCCGTGGACAACTACTAAGTTCATTCCATACCCTCTAGCTACTCCAGCATCGTTGTAGAGAGTTTTTGAACTGTCATTTACTACATAAAGATGGACACTTTTTTTCTCTTAAGTGAGATGGTTCTCCTTACCTCTATACTCATCTTCGTTTTTATAGATTTTTTCTTCACAATATGCTGTTGCGTCACATTGCGAAGTTTTTGGGAGAATTTGACAACAGCTCAATCCAACGGATAGTCGGTGACGACTGTCACGCAAGTTCATAAGGCACCTAAGCGATCAAAATAACTTGAGTTTTATATCAACATCGAAGTACTTATTTCGTCACTTTATCTAAAATTTTACATATGCAGACTCGTAATAAACAAAATCGCATCACTTTTACGTATAAAAACCTACTTCAAACCATTATTTAAACGATAAAACAGGAGCAAAAATCCGTCGGCGATCAAGTTCCTCACAAAACTTCCAGTAAATTACGTAGAGAGAGTCTTAAAATAAGGACAAAATTCTTATAGCTGAACTCATACATATGATGTTAAACATGGTACAAGCTAAGATAGCTATATTATTATCTCTTTCTTTCTTTTACAAGGTTATTGCCGTTTTGCCATTCCATAAATACTGCTATTGATGTGCCATTAGCGAAACAAAAGACGTTGTCGATAAATTCATTTAGGTAGTCTGCGATTTGGTAAAATTAGGGATTTTGATAAGTCCGGTTAGTAATACTTATTTATATCAATGAAAATTTATGAAAGCTTCATCTGACATCTTACAACAAAAGCATGGTCGAATAATGTGGAATTTCATACTTTCGTTATGTATATGTATAATTATGTATAATTTAAAATAGTATTTTTACAGTGATAGAGCCACGCGGCAGCTTTTGCTGTAGCATGTGCTCGAGCCGGGGTACCATTACCTCAAAGAAGACCAGCGTAAAGTAGAAGCTCTGCTTTTGCATTTCGTCAGGTGAGTGCAGGTGGCTAGAGGCCTAATTCCCCCCCCCCCCCCGCTACTTAACAGACCAGTACCTCTGATGACGAAGAATCCCTAGCTGGGCATCCACGTCAAAGCTACCCTACTCTTCCTGAGCGTAGGTGCCCAGGCTGGCCTGCGTTTTCTGGGGGTTTCTAACCGATACAGAGGTGGCCTCTCCGGTTGATACTACGTGTCTCTCCTGCCCTGGGTACAAATTAGAGCGCTCCTTTGTGCCCCGGGCTGCAGCTAATACATTTAATTTGTGAAATTTTAAAGGGAGAATATTTGAAAAGCAATGTATACCCAAGTAGGTACATTGATTTTGAAATAACATTTATAACTAGCCACCCGATCTGGCTTCGCCTGGGTGGAATCTATTAAGATGACGTTATTTAGATCGAAAATAATAATCATTAACAGCCATCATTTTTCCAATTTCCAATAATTTTATCTTATCAATATTACATAAAAGCTCCAAATTTTTCGGATAAAATTTAGTCTACATCACTCTCTGGTGTTACTCTTTACTTGTTGTTTGTGAAGTTTTATTACAATCGGTTCAGTCATTCTAAAGATTAGATCGAATACGGAAATTTTAAAAATGGTTACTAATGTCTCAATGGCATGTAAATTTTATATACAAAAACATTAACAAATAAAATCAACAATAATTATGAAGGATTCAGAGAACACGTCGTAGCTCAACCTTATTAAAATGAAATTGAAATTAAATAATTACCCTAATATAATTATTAGGGTAATTATTTAATTTCAATTTCATTTTAATAAGGTTAGGGTATAATTATAATTTCAATTTCATTTTAAGAAGGTTAGGGTAATTACCATAATAATTACCCTAACCTTATTAAAATGAAATTGAAATTATAATTAATTAAAAATGAAATTAGCAAAACCGGACTGTTTTTTTTTTGTAGTTTATGGCATTTTGTTATCATTGATTTCAATGACAAGTTGGACAGAAGTTATAGAACGTACGAAAAAAGATATACCGCAACGTTTGCTTTGCAGACTTTACCGGCGAGTGTGAGTATAGAGGTGAATAGAGGATACGAAATTTTTAATCCCGTTTTTTAACCGCATGGGTAGTATTTTTGCCCTTATTACACTACCCTAATTTTACACCTTTACTCAGTCATAGGGACGGACAAGTGAAAAAAGTATATATATTTATTGAATCAATATTTTTAAAAAGTATCGCGTTGTAAAATATCGATATATCGTCATGTTTTGCATAATGTAGTAGGATAATGTCCAAAATTTTAATACTGGACGTTTTGAAGATGATAAAACTCGACAATTAATAGTAAAGAAAAGAGGAAGAGAAGAAAGATATAGGTGAAATACTATTTAAAACTTAGGTAAAATCACTTAAATATGCGGATTCTACAGGGTGATTGTAGATTCAGCCTCTAACAAACCACTCACAGGATATCGAAGTTGCCACGATGGCAAAAATATCTTAGGTAGGCTACGAATCCCGGGAAATAACCCTTTCATGCAACTTGCTACATTCATGAAACTGTTCTTCTGCTTTCGTTTCATTTCTTATCTTGTGGTGCGTTACTTTTTTATGGTAGTTCCATATGTCACCTTTAGTATTATCGCATTTTCTGAATACATCTACTACCGAAATACAAACAGCTGAATAACCATCAAAATCCAATCAAAATCAATATTTCATAAATACGAAGTACCGTAAGCCGATAAAATAATTTCCATTACAAAATAACTATTACCTTATAAGACTGTACTTAAGCTTTTGATTAAGTAAATTCTCAAACAATATAATTATTAATAAACAAGTTAATTAACCCCTTAGTCCCCTTAAAATTCTCATGCAGTCGCATGCGCCCTGCAAATCCCGAGCGGTCACATGCGACGGTACCCACCCGCAACACTTAAAACCATTAAAACT